TTTTTCCTACCAATTACAGAACCATCGCTATCATCAGAATCACCTTGTTGATTTTTTGCTACTTCTGGGGATGATGAGCGCGATTTTTTGGATACAACACTTTTTGGACTTGCTGAACTTGATTTTGACTTGTTACTTTTAGATGAAGCTCTACTACGATTTGTGGAGCGGCTTGCATGGGATGAGTCACTTTTGCCACTCGCCACTGACTGATTAGATGTTACTGAGCCAGCAGGAGTTGCAGAACGACCCGATGCTGCAGATGCAGCTGATGCTGCACTAGAAGCCCTACTATTTGGTGACGGAGAACGAGATCCAGCTGGGGATTTTGAAGGGCTTTTGGATGGGGATACTGAACGCCCTGAACCTGATGGACTCCTAGAACGAGACCTTGATACAGGGGAAGCAGGTGAAGCTGGAGACACAGGAGATGCAGGAGATGAAGGAGATACCGGTGATATGGGAGACACAGGGGACGCTGGTGATCCTGGTGAACCTGGTTCAGATGCCGACTGTGAATTAGCTCGAACCGGAGAAGCAGATCTGGACGATTGATTGCTGCTGTTTGCTGACGATGAACTGGACACAGACTCAGAGTCACTGGCATCTGGACAATCAAAATCAAACACAAAGCGATTAATACTCACAAGATAGATGAATCAATTGTAATACAAACTGTAATGGGTTTATCAGTTATTATAAATAACATATAAGTAGAATTTATATTATTATAATTAACGGTTAGCCTTACCGTTGTTACTCTCGTTGAAGTTAACCATTTTGATCGTTTTCGGGAACTTGAGAAACTAGTCACTACGGAGGACAGGACAATTTCAAACACTCGACTGATCAATAGTTTCTAGTTCCAGAACGGAAGTCAAGTTAAATCAAAACATTCTTTATAGAATTGTTTAAAGTTTGAGAGCGACGAGTATGATATGAAACACAACTTACAAGTCACAACACTTTAAAATCATTGCTCATTATATTACCAATTATTTTTGATTTTGTTTTATGTTTCCGATTGATGCTTAACGTTATTTGTTTTCGTTGTTATTATCACTCGTAACGCCGAAAGATAAGACGCACATTATTCGTCCGGCGACTGTGTTTCTCGAACGGGAGGATGTCATAAAGCGTGTCGTTTCCTCGTGACTTGTAGCACTGTAGCTTGTAGCCACGATGACGATGTAAATAATACCATATACCTATTAATTATAGGTCTATGGATAATGCGTTGTTGTCCGCGATGTGAATAATATACGATGTGGTCACTTCCTATTTTTAATTAAGACCAAAGTAGTAATTTCAATGGCCTTTAGGGCGGAAATTGTCCACCAGGAGCACTATGAAGGCCGATTTTTCCAAAAATACCGTATAGTGGTATCTAAAGTTTAGGAACGATTCTAGTTTACTTACCGAGCAATTTCTTGGAATAATAATAATAATAATAATAATATTTCATAATATAAAATGAAACACACATTATGCATTTTTTATTTCTAAAATAAATTGTATTTCACTCTCCCTTATTTATCTATACAGGCTATACGCCTATACGTATACCGATTTTTGGTTTATTAGTACCTACTTGTAGGTGTGGACAGTGTAGGTAATACTTGGTACCTATTTATTTATATGATTCAATTGCATGGCTTATTTAATGTTTAACAGGTTATTAATATTAAGTGGATTACACACTAGGCGATTCGAACGCGCACCCTCCGTCTAATTGCTGGCATCCGAATAGTCGATGATGTAGTTTGACTGACTCCAGAGTGTATACATGATATATACATTTTATTTTATTTTTGTAATCCTCTTTTGAGGCAGTAAAAGTGCTCGTATTTTCTACTTCAGAATCTTTACTGGTAGGAAATGAATGAATATCTAGTTAATACTTTGGAGGTTCAAAAGTAAACAAATTCCGAGTAGTTTTCAAAGGCATTGGGAAAAACAAAAATAAAATTATCAAATAACGGAGATTTTTACTTAAAACTTGGTTTTAAATCAGTTCTGTTTTTTTTTGTCTTAACATATACCTAAGATAAAATTTTCAAAATATTTTGACTTTTTTTGAGTTATTGATAGGCGGAAGAAATTTTTGATTTTTTAACATTATGGCAGTAGATAAATAATTTTTCACTTGGTCAAAAAATCGACATAAAACTTTGAGACACGGTAGATAAATTCAGTTCAAAAATATTAAAGATACCGAGATTTTTTTTCATAAGAATTTAAAATTTAAATTTTTACAAAATTATATATATTTACAATTTTAAACGAACAATGACGATGATATTAGTTATTTCGTCATAATTCAAAAACATTACCTATTCGTGATGTCAACTTAAAATTTGTGCGTATGTTATATACATTTTATTACACGTAATAGCATTTTCAAAATATTTAGATTAATTTTAAGCCATTACTTATATACCGTGAACCTATTCACATTGTTCAGTGGTAAGTATTGGTTCAAAAGTAATTGTACGAAGACGGCATGACCAAGAATTTTCATGTCAAATATCCCTGACAAAAACATGGGTACTGCCTTATTACTGGGCAGTGGGCATTTGTCAGTTATCAGTTATCAGTACTTACCATTGAATTACTTTTGGTTAAAAGTATTATCAGCGGCTTCTCCAAATTAAGTTTTTCAGAGACAACCCTTTTCAGTAAATACCACTTGTAGACTGTATAGTTACTATAGTTAAGTACAATTATTGTACCAAATTAGAAATTTAAATAGATTATGTTAATATGTTTACACACTGTTTAGTGTTCATCGATACTCGATATTGTTACACCTATACAAGGCGTACTCGATCTAATTATCTAAATAAATCATTTTTGGATGTTAAACAGTTAAATTTCAACGACCGTATTCTGAAAAAATGTATATACACTCAGAAATAAGTCTAAGATGGATAGTCATGGCATCATTTGAGCCTGATCACCTACAGAAGCCAAGCGACTGCATGATTTACTTCATCATTATATAGATACAAAAAAACCTATGGTCTACTAACAATGGTCGAAATGACTCAAAATATTGCAGTGGTTAGGTAAAAATTGCAGGGGTAGGTTAAAATTAAAAATCAAATTTTTAAGTTCTCAGTACTTTTTAAATATAAATATAGGTAGTAAATGTATATCTCTTTAGTTGTTTGTACCTCAATTAAGAAATATCGAAAGATGAAAATATACAGTCAAATATTTTTTCATATAAGTGTTTAAAGGACAGATGTTTACGCAGTTCATCCAAATCAAGAACATTTTCAAATCATTTTTAGGTAGAAATTCTTAAATTTTTAACTTATCACTAAGATTTGTCGATTTAATACAAGATTCGTAGTAATAGGTTTATTCCTGGGAATATAAAAATAAGTTAAGTGTAATTCTTCATACATTTTTCATGAGTTAACAAAGTTCAAATTTTCTTTATACATCGGATATTCAAATTTCAAATAACTTATAATATCCGATTTATCCTCTATTTTGTTAATAATATGTGATTATTAAAAGAAATTAATCTTAGGAACTTAAAAAATTCCTATATAAAACCTAAACTATCATTTTTTATACACAATGACTTTTTCAAAATATTTAGAGACATTTTAAACAATTTATAGGCATTTGAAATTTTCGGAATTTTTTTATTTGACGCCGTTGAAAAATATTTTTAAGTTCGGTCAAAAAGCTTTGAAATGTAATACATGATATCCCACATAAGATTTTCTGATAGCAATTAAAAATACTTAAAAAGAACTTAACATTTTTACAAAATTCATCAAACCTTCTTGTAAGAAAATTTGAAAATTATTTTATAGATAAAAATGGAAGTATACTTACGTATCGCATGTTGTCTATGTTCTTCCTGTTCATACAAAAATAATTTCAGGGCCAATAGATATTTATTTAATTTTTCAAACAAATATTTATGTACTCTATATTATAGACAAAATACCTCATACTAATGATACTATAATCTGATGTCTTATAATCTGATTTTGTGATGTGTAATATGTTGTTCAAGTTCAAGTAGTTTTACCTATTGACTATTGTTGAAATTTATGTTTTTTTATTTAGTGTTTCTATCAAGTATCGATTAATCTTTTACTGCACCAACGTACAACGAAAAATACCAGGATATTATTTTCAAGTTTTCAACAAAACATATTTATACAAGTTGAACCAACAGAATATGCTGTTTGTTATGTCGACGTGCAGTACACCAATAAACATCCCGCTCACGTGAGTCGATCAAATACATCTAATGAAAGGAAGGACGTAATTTTTTACGCCGTAGTTTACTTTTTATCGTTATAACCTCAGTATGTAATAATAAATCTTGCAATCACGGGTTTGACTGTTTGAGAGACACTTGTAACTATATATGTTTAAATTATCATCAAATAAATTCACACGTCAACATGAAGTACCTATACTGTTTATTTGTATTATTATATTGTTCATATTGATTATTCATTATCTTTCTAAAACTTTAGTTGTATAGGGGTTAATTTTCACGATACTAAATGTCTGGTAAATTCTATCCTTCACCCCTACCAAAAAAAAAAAAAATTGACACAAACAGGCATAATAACAATAACAAAACCGACAATATTAAAACCTATACTTATATGTATTATAATATAATGTGTGTCTGGTATAAAACGTAAACTTCCGCGACTTGTTGGGTGTTATAGCTGTAGTTTCCAAGTTTCGCGTGTGATGATAGAAAAAAACCGAACCTATATACTCTCACTCTCCTCATCCCTTTCAGAATCTACGGTCTTACTGCGAAACGAGTAAATAGAATGCTGAGCTATATAATATATATATATTTAGTCGGCGCTCGCCGTCCGATTGGTCGGAGGCTGGACGCCTCTCCTGGGGTCCGGTCCCGCCCCCCGCCGGGACCGGCGTTTCGCCGAGGACTTGCGTGCTTGGGTCGCATGAAAGCACCGCTCTCCAAAGCACGTCAGTATCACCTATACCGGGCCACGCGCGTTTTTCGACCGCCACCGTTGAATTTCGGTCCGTTTTGTCGTCATCGTTGCTATACTTCCATATCTGCACGTCGTCTACATGTGACGATAACAATTTTACAATCGTATTGCACTTGATTACGAACAGGTTTTTTAACAAACTTTTGTCGCGACGTTTTATCTCGTTTAGTTCGGAAAGTATAAACAGAAAATCACGGCGCACGGGAGACTAACCGGAGTAGCTTTCGTTTCGATAGTTATATTATATTTGAATACACCTACCTGTCCTACCTAGTAATAAAGTTATTAACTAAACGAAGATATATAATTTTTTTTACTTTTATTGTTCATTCCAATAAATTATGATCAACAGTCCGCGCGAACAACAGGTGCAGGACGAACCGGTAGATCATCCCAAAATTCTATCGTCTGTAAGTATCCCGCATACTATATTATGTTATATTTAATCCGATATTGACATCATAATATTATAATATTGTTGAACCAATAATTAGTTAATTTTTCACCAAAGTTATAGAAATATAAAAAGACATGCAGTGGTGTCATAGCGGGAGGGGGGCAAGGGAGGCATTTCCCCCTCTAACATTTTTGTGGGAGGCCAAAGGTTTATTTTAGGCCCACCATATAGTCCAACAATACAAACCTTTGAATCTTCTTAAGCTAAGAAAAAATGCAGTATATTTTACTTGTTAGAATATTAGAATATTTGTTCCCTCAAACTATTTCATAAAAGTTAGGTACATTTATTTTATTTTCTCTTGTATAATATTCACGGACACATCAATGTTATCTCTATAACCGCATTTAATTAAGTCATTCAATTATTCGTTGGCTATTAATTATTATTTATTGTTCATCAAGTATAAAACATGTGTAAATAATATTTATACTAGTTACTTTTTTAAACTACTTATAGCGCATTTTTATTAATGAACTCGTAAATAGGTTCTTAATACTGTTTAATTTACTCAATACTTGCTACCTACGATTTTTTTCTAAACTATAAAATTTCTTGGAAGAGGTTTTGAGTGCAAAAAATAGTACAATGATAAAAATTCACAAAATCATTAAACGGATTAACATTTTAAATTATTATTATAGCTTTCAAGTGCCTAAAACGGTATATCAATCTAGTGTTTACGTAATTCCATTTAGGTACGCACAGTATTGCAGTATACCTTCATTTGTAGTGTTATATTTATCGTGTATTCAATTTTTAAAACAAATAATAATTTTATTATTAATTATACATAGGTATGAATGTATGATATTAAGTGTCATAATAAGTATGTTTCACTGTGAATTATAATATAAAATTGTGCATAGCGCCAAGCAGTACTATAAAAAAAGTAATAGACACTAATAGTGCGAGGAACATTTATATCAGATATTATTTAGATACTGTCAAAATAAATCCAATGGTACCTATATAATCTACGGCATACGGCAATATACATTATGTGTAGTATACTCGTAATATCGACTATCGGTACATACATTATTATTTGCAATTCGTCAATGAAATTTAAAATACTGTTTTATACCTTTATATAGAACGTTAGATCCTTAGAAGAAATTGTGCCTTTATATTTTATAAAAACTAGACAGATTTTTGTTGACAAATATAACCCCATCAGGCGTACCTATTTGTTTTAATTTATTAATATTTTAAAATAGATACGGTTTTTAATCTTGTAAGCATTATATACGATATAATTAAATTTTATATGGAAGAGTATTAGTAGAAAAACTCAACCTATATATATATATATATATATCCAAAAATAAGGCATTTCGAGCCCTAGAAAAAAGAAGGTTATTATATAGATACCACCTAGTGTATGAAAAAATAATTTTAGGTGACACTCAGGCCCCACGCCTAAATCCACTGCTTATGAACTATTATGTGCATGTTCGATACGCAGAGTAATATTTACTCTATAGTCTGTGGTTTGATACTTCGACAAATCTTCAACGTTTTACATTCAGAAGAATCCATTTCCTTTGTTAAGTTATTATAGTAAGTTAGGACATAGATTTAGGCTGTATTTTTTATGATAAAAATTTAATATTTAATTACTTTAATATCCGCTAAGTAATGTGTATAGGTAACAAAAATTAGAGGTACTTTTAGTCTTTAGAGATACTATTAGAGCCTAGAGTTATTGGTAAAATTTGTAAACTACATTAAATTATAAAATATTCATATTATTTTTATGATACTGCAAAAAAAAATTAATCACCATCATTGGATAGGTAAGTACGTTCGTAAAAAATCAAGTGAAAAAAAATTTTGTTATTTTATCAATCGTGCTTATTATAATCTAAGGGAACACAAAACATTTAGTTACGTCGTTGTGAGTGGGGTCGTCATACATATATTTCATGGGGATTCTGATGATATATTATTGTGTGTGTGTGTGTGTGTATTATACTCAACATTTAATGTGAAACGATCGCATATAGTATTTCGTATAAGTCATTTTCATTATCGACGCCTATCTCAGCACCCCATATATATATTTCGTCATTGCTGTCTATTATAAACCCTTAAATTGTGATCGTTATGAAAAAAAACACACTACATTATACTATATATAACCATGTTTATACAACGCCGTACAGCGTTGCTGAAGAGGGCGCAACAGTAAAATCAGTTGCCTCTTGTTTCTGTCACACATGAGTGATAAACTTCCAAGTCCTCTTTGATGGATACTCACGGTTGAAATTAAAGTAAGTATCTATTATAACCTAAATAATATAATCAAAATTATTGAGTTTTATCGCGGATTTTTTTTCAAACAGTTGATATGGTTGTGTCATCAATAATTGTCTACATTTTCAAAACACTGGATCAACTTATTGGTCTCAGCAATACTGCACATTTGAACCATATTATAGTGTAAACACAATATTGCAGGAAATATATTACGAAGACCAGTTTTCACTATAATATTTTTTTTTAGATACCTACTTCTTCCACGCACATAATGTACATTTATATTTATATAAGACGAAGACTAAAACCGATTTTACTGCTGAACCCTTTATAAACTTAGGGTTAAACTAGCGAGTGTACGACCAACACATCAATACATCACATGGGACTATGGGAGAACGAAAATCATTATGGTACAGGATATTTAATTTGACGAAAATGAAATAAGACCAATCGAGACGTTAAAATCGAAAATAAAAGGTTTTAAAAAATATTTCAAATGCAGTGCAAATACGAAGGCGCCGGAAATGCACCGTGGAAACAGTTTCTTGCCTAACCACCTACCCCATACCCAGCGAAGACTGAGTTGTTATTAGTCACTATATTATTATATGGCGCGCTGGCAAGACCAAATGAATCGACGGAAAGACGAGGAGGAAGGACAGTCGGGAAAAATAAATGACTTTTCAAAAGCCAAATCGTATAGCGCAAACCGAATTAGAAGACGTCGCCACCGTAGTCAGAAGATTTCGCACCAAAGACATATAGCGACCATACAACTTCCACACTCACACACACACACACACACACACACACACACACACACACACACACACACACACACACACAGTGCTACCGTTAATGCGATTTCGCCACAGCGCGGTTTCCCAGTCATTTGCGTTCATTTCCGGACGGCGCGCTCTGGTATTTCCGGTAATCGTGGGCTGCATCGCGTGTTTTCGAATCACGTTTATTCATAATTTTTGCTATAAAATGTAAATCGCTAAATATTGCTATATTGTAGAAACTAGTGGGCAAAAATGACACCGCTGTTTTAGCACCGAATATATTCTCGTTTGATTTCACCCAAAGTAAAAGAAGAACCCAACTTGTGGACTAATTGTACCAAAATTCGTTTCTTAAAATATTTACTTCACATATCATGCTGTACCCAGTATGTCAATATAAAGTCCAATATATAACCATAAATAATAATACAAGAATTGAATATAAATATGTTGGTGTATTTAACTACCCGATTTAACTATGGAAGTAGGATTTTGCTAAATTATAAAATATTTTATAAATAATATTGTGTATTCTCCTATTAAACACAATACCTATGTGACATACTGACATGTGTTTATTACCTTTATTAATATTCTATAGTTTCCTGAAAATGAACTAAAATGAACTAATATAATGATGTGAAGGACTTACATTATATTATTCTCCCGCACCATTTTAAAGTTTATATAATTTTAGTATATTAATTAATAAATCTTCATGGGTCATATGCTTTATACTTAATGTATAGTTCATTTGTATCTAAGTAATTAGAAAACATGAATATTATATATAATTGCATAATAATAGGTACATATAAACTAGAGGAAAGGATTGGTATAGACAATAATCGCGTACCTATGGTATATATGATACCAATGGTATATATGATGCTTGTACATCATAATTGATACAAATATAATAATTTTATAACTTACTAATAATACTGCCAATGTTTTTTTTCAGTTCAACAACCGAAATCCGTTGTATACGGGAGTAATCGAAAACAGTGAAATAGAAATTGATAAGAGAAACGGAATATATGACGTGCCCCAACAAACAGGTAAGGAGTAATATTATTACGTTGAGATATATCATAATGTTATTATTTAATATCTTAGAGTTTAAATATTTTCGATTAATAATTTTCTAATGTATATGTTTGTTATACAGAAAATGTATACGTGCATTTGTCAAGTAAACCTATAAGCCAAATGCTAGAAAACTGGAATCAAGAAGGTAAGAATATGGACATCAACAATATTTTATACTTACCTATTTATAGTACCTATAAACACATAAAATATTGCTAAGATTGACGGCTGCCTCAGTGTCTTGATAAGTCTTATATAATATCGTATATTTTATGCATTAAATAATACAAAAACATAATATTATATAGAACATAATACATACCTAACTGATATGTGAAATTATAATGGGTAAGACGCAAGTACTAATATTGAACATAGCTACTTTATAGTATACAATAAGTATATAATTTATATCATACTCTTTCACGTTTCAATTAGTAATAAAAGGGTGGGGTTCCCTCGATAGTCGATATCATGTATCATTGGTAGCTTATATACCTACCTATTATTATGTTAACACAAGTATTTTTTTGGTGAAAAGTCCACTACCGACAACAACATATTTTGTCTACTGCGGACAATTAAAGGTATGTATATATATATATTGATCAAGTGGTATACAAACTCTGACACGTGCTCGATCAAATTCATTTACCTTACGCATAAGAGTTAAGACTTTGCGACTATCTTGTACCTCCTACACTGCGAAGAACACGATATCATATAATAATTATTATAAGATCGTCTTACAACAAAGGTTTTGAAAATATCGTTTGTGTCCAATTTCATTCCACTGTGGACGCCAGATAAAGTCGGCTACTCGGCTGTAAGTCACAATAGAAACCAAGTACTTTATTATCAATTTAATAACTGTATACAAATATAAACCTATAGAGTATAGGTTCTTGCTGTGAAAATTTGGTGACCCGTAGGTGGTTCTAGATTGGTGAACCTTAGTTTGAACTTTTTTTTCTAAATTTCTTTTTTAGCTAAATTAAAAATATACATCGATATTAATGGAGTGCACATTTATTAAAAATATGAATCTTTAATCTGTTTCTGCCGTATTACAATTTACGTGTACACACTACACCTAGAAATAATTTTACAATTCACAACTAAAACTATACACTGGTTAATCCGTCTCAGTTTGAATAAGTGATAATACGCATCAGCATTGCGAGTAGAATGTACCTATCAAATATGTATGTTTACTTTGTTCAAACAGAAGAATTCTGATTTTAGTTTATTATAACTTCGAGGGACGAATACGGAATAATATTTATGTACGAATAATATGCTATATTATCACATGACACATTGTCACGACAGCGTATAAACATTATACGCGCTTTATGTCTACATATAATACACAGCCAAGGTATACGTTGTCGTTCGGCGCAGATTGTCTTTGAAAATATATTAAGGGACGACGTCGACGACGTCGACGCGAAGACACCGCGGTGTCTCACTGAGAACCCACTGAGTGAAACGGTTTAGCGGGGGGTAAAACGTTTTAAATTGTATTTTGTATTTTTTTATTATTGTACTTTAGGATTTCGATTAAAAGGCACTTTGATCACATCACATGCAAACATGACGTGTATGTCGATATATAATAATATCTTACGAGAAAACGGAAATAATATGATGAGCCGCAAAATATATTATACTTATACACATTACATATTATATATGTACTATAGGTATATAGTATATGGAATATGTTTTGCATGTATAATACGTCTGTATGTATACCACGGTTATCTACTAGTATATAACTTTACTGTGTCGACTGTCCCGTGATGTACACAAAACCGAAATAATCAGATATTTTTTGGATTTGGATATTCTTACGAAACATTTGTTTAATTTTTCTTACAAGAAATACTACATGACAATATGTATTATATTATTATTATTATTATATAGCATATAATAGATGATGGTAGCTTTGATTCCAAAGTTTGAAATCGTCCAATTATAATTATAGTTGTTCAGCTTGGCAAAGCTTAAAAGTCAACATTTAGGAAAATAATTGAACGGATGAAACTATAATTCATACTTCATAATATAGACGTATAGGCGTATAGCATAAATATTTAAGAACTAAATGGGTCGAACCGAGTCAGATCTTGAATTAAAATTCAGGGCCTGAAACTGTCGTCTGGTGCGGACTTTTAATGTACCTGTACAGCCTATTTGTCATTACTATAATGTTAAATATACCCGAGTAAACGAAACACATCTGAACAGACTGAATCCAAAAATGATTGATAAATAATTATCTGAACGTTGACCACGACAATTATTAATTAGAACACAATGAAAATTATTATTGGTTATTTTTAGTTAGGTTTAGGTTTAACCATAGCAATAACAAGCAATATAAGTATATACAATGTTACACTTTCCAAATTCTCTTTAGAAATTGTTTCTCAAAAATCGTTTCAACTTTGCCCGAAGTAATGTGGAAATTAATGCGAGGTTAAAACAGAATTATATATTGTCTCACTGTGATGAGTATGACAGATAGTTTTTAAATTTATTATGGTTGTATTGTTGATAAGAAAAAACAAAACAACTCGATAAACATATATATTATACTAATATGCTTTCCTCTGCTACTGTGAATGGTGAATCATAACCATACGCGAAAGCGCATCAAAAAACATCTCTTGCGTGGATAATTGTGTTATGATAAACCGTATACAATATCCTTAAGTATACGTGGTCACGGTTACTCCGTATATAAGCAGACAGTAAATGGTACATAGCAGTATTAGTATATAGTTGTAGTTGTTGTAGTATTAGTAGGGGTTAACGAAGGGGTATATGTCTATAGTCTAATACATTGACGATAGTCCCCATTGAAAAATCAAGCGAATTGTATGTAGACAAACACCCTCGGTAAATCACGAGGTCAGATTTATGGGTTGGAAAACGTATATACTATATACATTATGTATACATAATGATATGCGGGCAGCTGTTTAGCAGAGAGGGATTTCAAATATTACAAACTCAGAGGTTAATATATACAGAGTGATGATATTTTTAATTTTATAAGCAGTAAACGAACTAGCTCATTAACGTTATTGATAATATTATTTTAACATCATTTAGATTAGTTACAAACTTACAACACATCGTTTTTGAAAAAAAATTACGTAGTTATAAATATTTAAGTTTTACTTTTTTTAATGGTAACATTCGTTTTTCATTTTAAACTTCGAATCAAATATTTTCTTGAGAATTTTTATGTACATAAATTGCATTTTGAACTTTTAGATAATTAATTTGAGCTTTGGACTTTGGAAAAGCATTCGAGTGTATAGAAATTATATACTAATATTTCGGGAATGTGTATTGAAAATTGTAATTATTTAATTTATACTAATTATATAATGAATTTATATTTAAAATTGTGAACTCATAAGCCTCCACATAATCATGTTCAGTTTGGCCTATTATATTCTTGAATAATAACAATAAAAAAAAATATAAAAGGACCATGCAACATTTTGAGGGGTAACCATAGCTCAATAGCTGTGCGCCTGTGCTACTATATGCATTTATATTATAACTTAAAATATTATTATAGCTAATTAACTATACAGGTAAGCATTCAAACTTCAAAAAATGTTGTCTTCAAATTATGTGAAATATGTTTTGAAAAAACGTTAAAATACTTTTCAGTTGTCATGATTATGAGTGTCTACTATTTAAAGAATCACTCAATAAATAAAAATATTCTGTAACTTAATACGTCCCGCTATATACATTTTACATGTATAATTTTTAAGTACAGCTGTATAAATCTACCCGAAGCTGACATCACGAAGTCAGCACATAAATTTATTAGAGCTCCAACAAACTATTTTCTGGTTTATAGGACGTTTTTGGAAATAAGTACACGTAAAAAACTAAGAACTCAGTTAATGTTATGTACCTATGTATTGAAACAAGTTGTTGACGTTTTTTGGACAAAGATTAAATAAACTTTCCAAGTTTAAAGAGTGTAAAAGTTCATTAAATATAAGTGTACCTGATTTTAAAATAAACATCTGTAATTTTTAAAAATGATCCAATTACAAACTCATTTATACAAATTATACATAAACATGATGCCATATGTCAATGCATTCCGACATTTTCAAAAGTCATTGAAGCTTACAGTTAAAATAATATTTTTCAACACCTAATATAAATTAATATAGGTAGTGTTAGAGTAAACTCTTTGTGAACAATTCTAAAAAAATGTATAGTTACTTTTATTGATTTGAGGTATGTTTAAAAGTTTACTTGGCCATTTTCATAAGTTGTTGTACTTAAGAATTCTATATTTTTAAAATAAAACTTTTTCAGTAGGCAAGCGTGTATTGCTTAATAAGGTAAAATGTGTGGTAAAAACGGGATATAAAATCTTTTCAAATTTCTGACATAATATGTTTATAGTTTATACCAACATGTGTATTAAAGAGTTTGTTGGAACATTTGAAAAAGATTCCGAACTTTTATTTTAAGCATAATTATATTTTATGATCGTTTGAAGTTTGAACCTTACAATCTAAAAATTTGGAAAGTATATTTATCTTTGTTTAACAACATCTTTCAGAGCTATATATGTATACAATTGGTTGAGTCTTGTGTGTCTTACTCTAATATGCAGTGCCGGTTTAAGCTAGTACTACAAATTTTAAAGTTTAATAGGTGGATAACCCTTAGCAGCTTAACCGAAAAAATATCAAATTAACGTTCAAATTTCAAGTACTTACATTATAGGTAATGAAGAAAAATCAAACTTACGACTCAAATTTTATTAAAATTTATTAATATGATCTTGATGTTGGTCATAGCCTCATAGGTATTAATGCAGTATATGTATTGACATCGTGGCTTTTATACGCATTAAGTAGAACAAACATATTTGTCGCAAACTCGAAATAGTTTTTTTTTTAATTTGATAACCATATATTAAATAATATAAATATAAGTACAAGTAACCTACTGAAAAACTATTTGGTTTAGCTATACTTTCTTTAAGCAAAGCTTGAGTTGAAGGTACCTAGTTAGTTATTTTCTTAGAGACTACACACTTTAAGCAAAATTAAAAATACAATGATAGCAAAAATAACAAAAACAACAAAGAGACAGCATAGCAATAATGGCAAAAATTTAAATTAGGTTCTTAAATTTACAACTTAATTGTAAAAGTATTTGATAAAGATTTATTTTAAAGGAATTACGCCCTGCAGTTCTTTATTATCATCATTATCGACCCTACTCAAATTGCATTATTAAGGCAGTAAGAAAAACTCTATATTCTGTAATGAAATTAGTGGTTTTAGTGTTTTTTCAGAGGCTCCACCCTAAATAGTTATGACATATTATAAGATAGATTGATAAAATAAAAACTGAAAAACTGACAAATTGTTATTTTCATAGTGTATGAGGAGAGAGTTTTATTTAAATAAAATAGCTGAAGTATAATCATTCGTAGGCGCATATTGATATTTTATTTATGTAAGTTCCATTTTAATATTCAAATTACAGTCTAACATTCATCTTACGTATCTAAATTGTGTTACCCTCTTAATGTTTATTTTTATAAACACTGAGCTTATAATTTATATACACCATAAAGCCAAATTGTATGCTACATATTTAAACACGTTTTTTTTAGACCGCGCGGCGGTGATGTATCAGCAAAATTCAATGAAAACCGAATTGAAATCACCTGCAGACTGTTGTGGTAGGTCTACACGGTATTTCACCGATCATTATTATCCACACTCGCCAACCAACTTCAGGTAACTCTTGAAAATATAATAATATTTATTGCATGGTATGAATTTGTTGTAGAGTTGAAAAAAGTCAAGAAAAATTTATTTATAAGAATATATAATTATATTGGAGGTTCTCAATCGATGTATAATGCATTAATGCATTGAAGTTCTGTTGTTGTAAAACAAATCACATGATAATAAATTTACAATGCGGCCGAAGCTGAACTAAAAAGATGATTAAGAGATTTAGAGATAAGCGATTTGAGATTGGTAACTAATATATATACATAATAATATATCATATTTAAGTTATACATTTTAATATTATATAATATGCAGAACATAAAACTGCGAAGAAACAAATTATATTCGCGGAACGGTTCTTAATAATCGTCGGTCGAAGAATAACTAATTTTTATGTCATCAATATAAACAATATTATACATCTTCACGGTGCAGTATATACATTGTTTGAAATAATTAAGCCCATAAATAGGGCGCCCCTCCCACCACCGTGCGTGTATTTCAATTTTTAATACAAAGGGTTAAACGGTCTCTCGTTGTAAGCTACTTGCAGGACCCTTTCCATTCTCTTAAATTATTAACCTGATAATTATTTACGGGCTTCTCGTCTGTTGGCTTTTCATTCGAAAGATTATTTAAAACCTACGCCGACCCGCGAACCTCTCAGAAGTGTGCAGTAATCCTCTTTCTACAGTTTCTACTACAGTGTATAATATACACCGCACATATACGGAGGGACTGGCGGACCCCGAACGGCGTGTATAGAAATTGTAGAATAAACACGCCACCGAATTATATTATTATACAACAATAACATTTATGCGTTTTTATTAAAGTCTATCGTTAATCAATTCGTTAGGTGCTTATATAAACGTTTCAGACATGAAACTATTGTGTTGTGTTCGCAAATGATATAATATTATATTGTATATACGTATATAGCATCATAGTTCATTGATAGAATAAATAAATATATACGATATTAATACATATTATTATGTTATATATTTAGGTAAATACATTTTTCGATATTTTATTTTTGGAAACACCTATAGTAGCTGATAAGTCCTCGCAATTCTAATCGTTTTATATTACCTTTATTTTTTCACCCACTTGAAACTATACAATCAACTTTTGATTTTTAAATAACAATCGATTTTGTTAGTTTCAATTACTACATAGAATATTTTTCTAAGCATTCTGATCAAAAAATGAATTGAATAAATAGTTTTTACATTCTTATACCTATATTATTAAAGAAGGTTTAAGTTGAAATGAGTTCACCACAAGTTTCACATTAGGTACCACTTAACTCCTATATTAACATAACTTTATAAGTTCATTAATCAAAATAACAGACTATTGGTTTAATACTTGATATTTTTATTTTATTTACCCATATCAATATTTCATAAGAAATATTTTACAACAGGTTATAAAACAAAATATACTGCAGATTGATGTTTAAAAATTAAATATAGGTATGTAGTTGTTTTACCAAAACATTTAGTGTTAGACAAAATAAGAATATAGTAAAAATGTTAGAATTGCATGAATGTTTCTTAAATTTCCCAAGAGGAACAATTCCGAAAAAGTGATTAATTTACGAAATGATAATGAGTAATAAATACAATATACAATATATATTATAAAGTTATATTTGGACGTTTTCTAGAAGCCTGGCCACTAGAAACCTTTACTACGATTATTACGATCCACCTGCAATGGTGGCGCACAAGAAAGACCCAGACGCCAAGTCCTATTACGGACAGGACGCCAACGACAACGCCACAAGATACTCGACACAAGGCAAGTAAATTTTTATTTCCTAAGACCAATATTGAACATTATAGGTACAGCGGTACACTGTGAATGTTTATGTGAACATTTATAATAGTTAAAAAGACATGTACAAATGTAGACAATATGTATTATATAGGTTAGGTTGCTGATTGGTTAACATATTATTATGTACAGTAGAGTAAGGATAAAAAATGTTCAAATAACTACGAAAGTACGTACCTATACGTAGATCCAAAGACGTTCGTCAAAATGCAAATACATTAATTCAAAGTAACAAATAGTTAAAATAACTCAATTTATTTATAACCCTTTTAGATATTACTTATACGTCTATGGATATAAGTATATAACCAATAGAGCTATGCCTATAAATAATATATATATATATCACATTCGAATAATTGTTGAAATTTCTATGTATTGTTATGTAATCTGCTCGACGAGAACTATAAGCAAAACTTAATATTAAATGTAATTTTATAATACAAAAAAGAAAATAACAGAGTGAAGAGGCCTCCCAGCGGCCAGGAGTAGAGGGATTCTTATATGATTACTGATTAGTAATTAGGTACCTACTATTTACTTGTTTTACCACGCGGAACAAAGCATGCCTGACAATATTAAACAATAAAACATGTTATTTATAAGCAATTAAAAATTATTGTCATCAGTTATAATAATTATGAGATCATACCAAGTTATAGTGTAGTTTTCGATTAAAAATATCTGAAAAGACAATGCGTTCCGTTTCCGAGATTCGATTTGATTTTACATTTTTATTAACCGTGATAATAATATTATACAATAACCTATATTTATAAAATATATATATATAGTATTATATGCTCCTGCATAGTTAATATATTAGAACCTCAAAAAAGGCTAATAAAAATGCTCGTCACGGATTGTCACATCGATATGCGCTTTATTATAACAATGACGAAAATCTAAAAACTAATTGAATATAAATAAGACACCCGAGGGTGGGTGCTGACGTACTGTGGGTTAGAACACGATACATGGGAGGTGGCATCGGTGGTCGTGTCATCAGATGTAAATCCAGGGGAAAAAAAACATTCCGGACACGTATACGCTGGTACGCCACTATATAATATATACATTATACATATATTATTATATGCTCTGCAGACTTGCCACCGATATTCAACGAAAACAAGCATTTCAATTTTCACCTAAAATGATTTTTTTTCTTCTCTTTCGCGGCTCTCCGAGAAAAAAACAAAATTAAATTAAAAAAAATATTGCATCTCCGTCAGAAAATGTTTAAGCTCTAGGTATGAACTGTATATATAGATATTGATCGACGAGCGGATTATGACACTAGGCCGCAGACACTTTTTTTTTTTGTAATTTTTATTTTGTACGACATTCCTAGCCGATAGTAGGCTATTATTTACAATTTTTATTTTTGACTTTTATAACAAGGTAACGATATAGGCCGCCGACACTATAATACAACGACAACTATAAATTATAATAGGCATCTGTATGTACTATAAAATGATTACTAAACCTACTGCCAATGTACATTATCCTCGAGATTAATTACAATATTTATAGTTGTGATGTGTTCAGCGAAATCGAAAACAAACAAAACGATATAACTATATTTAAATGGGTAGATATATAAATGTAATATGTACATTGTATGGAAAGTTATAGTTAATAGTTAAATTATCATAGGAGTGCTCAGGCAAATATGTCATATAGTGAGTATTTGGTACCTAAATAATTTATATATTATATTATATGCATTCGAGTGTATTGTATAATATTATATAGTAAGTATTGACTAAAAAGAGAAAGGACTAATTGTGAGTAAAATATGTTTTGTCTTTATGCCCATCACTTGCAAGGGTGGTTTGGCCAGGAGGTACAGTGGGAAAAGAGGTGCGATAAACAACGTTTACCTAATGCAATTGCTTAGTCTTAGAATTTCTTTAAATTAAAATTTGTGTGGATGAATGTATAATTAGTATAATTAATTATTTAGTATTTTTTTATTCTAAATTATTGATGACGTCCTACAACAAAAATTTTAAATATGATACAAATTAAATTATATATTATGCAGTGGGTGGATCATTGTCTAAATCCTTTGCTTAGGGTTTGAAATATGTACCACTGAGTGGGTATAGTCCTACTGGACCGCGTGCTATCTAAGGCCGCCGGTCTGAACCTTTTACATTTATAAACTTTATAGGTACTAAAATTAAATTATAATGACTATAGAAGTAAGTCAATTTAGTCATATTATAACAATATGCACTCTTTTAAAAATAAGCTTTTTGCAACTCGCTATTGCCAGCCAAAACAAATTCACAGTTTTTCTTTAATTCTATATGAAAAATTCTCTTAATATATGCCCACCAACAGTGGACAAAATGTCAATGGCATAATATTTTATCGAAACGTATTTTATGGAAGGTGCCCTATATGTACTTTATGAGTTGTGATAATCTTACACAGGTTACCCGTTAACACATAATATGAGATTATTTACTCATTTGGGTACATACTATTATACTTATTAGATATTTATATATATAAGCTCGTTGTTCTATAGTCGGGATTACGATTTTAGCGTAATAATGATAATCGTTCGTATTCGATTTTATAACTATAAGTATAAAAACGTGACTTTATTATTTTCATAATCTCCGATTTCATAATAACTTTTGGAACGTTATAACTTATTATAGCTTAATATTAAGACGTACATAGTATACAGCATATGCATATTATATAATGTTCAATTGGTGTACTCACTAACTTTACTCTTTAATCTTTACTCAATGCTATAGACATTTCACACGCCGTGCGTTATATGCCTATAGAATATATGTTATATAAAAAAAAGAATAAATTGCGCGTAATATTATTGTTATATTTTTGTATCTACGTGCTTAATCAATAATCGCGCAGTCAAAACTTTTGCCATTATACCGTACAACCACTAAAAACAATTACATTTTGTACAGTTATTATAAACGGCAAATAATATGTATAATATTATGTGATATTGTATAATTCGCAGCACGCTGGAAGCTTTTAAAAAAAAAAAATTACACTATTTCTAAGTTGTGGTTTTTAAATGCACACATGCACATATCCACACTTAAAATGTCAGGATTCGTATTTCAGAAACATAAATTCGAACAAAAGTTAAAAACAAAAAAGCCGAAGTGAAACATAATTTAAATATTTAATATGAGACAATAATATTTAGTTTTTATATTCTCGTATTAATGAATTCGAGAAAAAATGACTTATCTTTTAATATTATATTATACGTATGATGCCAGATTTTGATGTCACGCCTTCTTTCCCCGCGATATAATATAGGTATATAATTTAACCATGAACGTTATGCATTTTATTATCTTATATTTGTATGCAATATATGACTATAATCTATAAGAGGGGATTTTTCGCCAAACGCGGAAAATCCAATTCGACTCAAACCATACACAATCACACACGATCCGTGATAAGCAAAGCGCGGTCAATCGCATGATAATAATATAACGATAAATAAACGGCGGTGGTGGAGGCGTTAATAACCGACCCCGTCGAGACAAGTGCACATCGATGTGATTTATGTTTGTGGGATGCGTTTTGGGGGCTTTGGGGGGGGGGGGAGGAGGTAGTCGGACGCGCGTCTAATGACTATATATTATCGTACATATATATATACACGTTTATCACATCATATATACAATACTACAGCGGCGGCGGCAGCGCGTCTAATCGTTTTTGGCGTGTACAAAACTCTCAATGGTCGAGTACACGTGTATACATACATAATATATACTGCTGAGTGCAGGACATCTCGACTCTCCAGTCACGGACCGTGTGTACAGTGTACATAATAGCACAATAGCATGTATTATTATTTATTTCGCATTAATACGAGTATATGTATACATATACATGTGTGTGTGTGTGTGTGTGTGTTATGTGGAATACTACGTTAAGAGCATCATTAGAATGTTAGGGTTAATATAATATATAATATTAGGTAAATATCACGCAAAAAACGTGTTACCGCTGCAGGGTACCACCCATGGCTTTTTTCTATCAACTGATTCAAGCTAACCTGAACCGTCCGTTTTTAGTCTAGTTGTAAAAAAAATCATTTACTGATATTATGTATAAACAAATCAGTTATTACTATTATAGGGCTCAAAATTTGTACAAGTTAAAATCGATTAAATACACATAGATACAAAAAATATAAAAATTTTAAACACGCAAAACAAAATTTTTAAAAACTACTTTTTAATTTATTATTTGTATACAACCAGCTTGCGAAGAAATGAACACGTCATATAAAATACGGCGTTATATATGCAGTTTTTAGCTGTGTACCCTAGTTCAAGGACAAAACGGCATCGATGTATTATTAACTGTTCCTCGGTCTGTGAACTAATTCAACCGAAATGGGCAATCCACCTGCCGTGCTGGAGTGCACCCATATAGCATTAGTATTTGTATTTTCTATTTGGTACATTTTTGAAAGTGATTCAAACTACACACTGCAGAACACTGAAGTTTCTTTATACTTTCTTTATACCCCTGAGAACAACCGCTGAAATTTCCATCAACATCGGTTGAGTATGTAGAACCTTTATCAGCTACAACATAAAGAGGTTGCCTTATGATGTACATTTGAATGATAACAATAAATTGAATATTATTTCATTTTATTTAAAAACAATCCGATAATAACGTATTTGGGGGTCGGTTAGTCTATACCAAATTTATTTCTGCAACAAAATGGCAACCTCCTATACCTATAATCAAAGTAATGTTTGATTTTATGAGCTATCTTACAACTACCTGTAGGGGTTGAAAAATGAAACAATAATGAACACTCCTAGAATCTCAAGTAATACGAATGCAAATTACGTAATTTTAATTTTTAACAAAAAGTTGTTTTTTATAATAACTAGGTGTTTCTAACAAATGTATTTATATTATAA